ATGATGAGAATCATTGATCAGCTGCCTCCTGCACTCCCCACACTGGGAATAGAGCCTGCAACCTGGGCATGTGCCCCTACCGACTGGGAATCAAACCTTGACCTCATGGTTCATAGGTCAATTTTCAACCATTGCTGGGCCTGATTGCTTCTTGAGGGAATGGCTAGGAGATGCCTCAGGTGTACAAGCTTTTTGAGACAGATTGCTCTTTGAGGAAGAGTAGTTGTGTGGTATCCTAGAAAGGGATGAAGTATCTGAGCCTCGTTAACAACTGCTGGTGACTAACTGTGTGCTTTTAACCAAAGCAATTCAGCTCTCTTGGTCTTTGTTTCCTAATCTGTAAAGAGGGGATAATAATAGCTCTTACAGATAAGGTTGGAGTGAGGATTGAATCAGCTAATGCACACAAAGTGCACATCTTAAACATTGGGATCACAAGAATTCTCGCTTCAGATTACACGGTGTTTTACAAAGTATCATACTTTAAAAAGATAGTAGCTTGTAAGAACATGTAATAAATAACTTCAAAAAGCAATGGGTATTAAATTTTAAAGCATGCCTTTAACATTTATGTGAGACTTTTTTTGTACTCGTTCAATAGAAACTTATCTGGCCACTGGGTAAAGCTAGCAATAAAACTACTGGTCCACAATGCGTTAAGTATTCAATAAATCGTCCCTATTGTTACTTTTTAAATTTCATAGTATTTCAGGTACCATGCTGAGTGATTTCACATATGGGACTTCATCCAAACTTCAACTCCTGCGTAAGGGATGGTTATCTTCCCCATTTTACAGATAAAGAGTCTACAACTCAGAGAAGTGATTTAACCAAAGTCAGAGCTAGGATTTGAATATAAGTGTAGGCTATGTAGAGCTCTTCAGGAATAATTATAGACCAAGTATTAGACTCGCTATATAGTTTTGTCTCTTTTCCCAAACTATGGCTAGAAGACTCCGGCTGTGGCTACGGATCCTCTGTTGGGATTTTCTTTCCCCAGCTTATATTTTCCCCCAAATGGTCCCAAAGCCCCCACTGCCTTGCCTATGTATACTTTGGGATTTTTCCCCATTGCTGGAAAAGCCCTAAAGAGAGTAGGGGCCCTTTATTTTCCAAAGTGAAGCAAGAGAGTGATACAGCAGAACTTTGACAGTGGATGGACAAATCTGGGTGGCAGTACTCTTGAACCATTAAGACAAGTCTGATCTGATAACCTTTATTATAGTACATATTATTGAAACTTGCTATGCATCAAACTCTGTTCCAGATGTTTTGAGAATATTATCTAATCTCTACAATAATCTAGTCAGGTGAGGATTATTGTTCTCTTTATCAGATAAGAAAAGAGCTCTGAAGCTCAAATGGGTTACATCAGTGGTCGGCAAACTGTTAGTCAACAGAGCCAAATATCAGCAGTACAACGATTGAAATTTTTTTTTGAGAGCCACATTTTTTAAACCTAAACTTCTTCTAATGCCACTTCTTCAAAGGAGACTAGCCCAGGCCGTGGTATTTTGTGGAAGAGCCGCATGTGGCTTGCAAGCTGCAGTTTGCTGACCACGGGGTTACGTGACTTGCGTAGAATCACACATTCAAAGTGGTCGAGTTACGATATGAAAAAAGGGGCACATCTGTAATACATTCAACAATAAAGATAATTTTAAAAAAAGATATTAACCTATATCTGTCTCACTTACTTTTGCCTCATTGCCTATGGACTCAGTATAGTTGGTAGAATGAGACTTAACTTATATGAAATAATGATGAACAATATAAAACAGGTTACTATTAGGAACTAAATTGTGAGTGCTAAATTACTAAGGACAAGATCCTTAAAGGAAATGTCACTTGAGCAGTACCTTGAAGAACAGTTGGAATTTAGATTAACAAAATGGGAGGGGGCATTCTAGGCAAAGGGAACAGTCATAGTAATAACTAAAATTGGTCAGGGCTTACCAGACCCTATTCTAAGCAATTGGCATGCATTGTCTCATTTGATCTTTACAGACCCCATTAATGAGATACTATTATCCCATTTTACTGCCATGGCAACTAGAGCTCTGAGTAGTAAAGTCATGTATCTAAAGCAAAAGAGCTAACAAGTGTTGAAAGTAGGACTCAAATCAAGGTGGTTCAAGTCTAGAGCTTGTGCTAGGTTCTACAGGAAGACCATCAGCAAAGGCACAAAGCTGGTTTCAGAGTTTGGCTGGAGCAGAGATATGAGAGATTGGACTGGGTGGATAAAAACAGCTTTAAAAGTCTGATCCAGTTTATATTTATGCAGGGCAGAGTAAGAAATAGGGAGCCAGTGAAGATTCTTGAATATGAGAGTGCTATAATTCAGTTGGTGTTTGATATGATATGATCTAACACTAGTGACTGGAAGCAAAACAAGGGGACACTGACTGGCAGATTGACCTAATATTTTGGATGTAAATTGTTAAGGGCCTGTACTATTAAATAGAACAGGAGGTGTTAATGGTAGGTTATGTGTAGGAGAATTGTGATTATGTGGAATAGTCTCAGTGAGAATAGAGAGAGAGACACATACAGAGAGAGAGGCTCAAAGCCAGAGAAATGTGAAAGAAGACTGTAGAACTCAGTAAGCAATTTGACAGTTGGGAAGAAGGTGGTCTTAAGACTGCTAGCTTTTTAAACCCTGGGCTCAGAAGAACTTCAGGAAACTTAGATGTGGATGAAGATCCCACAGTGAGAGAGGTTCCCTGTTCTCAACTGTGTCCTCGTTGCTTAGTACACAGTCCATTGTAGTACGTAGTATTTCTGTGAGATGGCTTATATTATAAATAGTTGTTAATGCATGACTACCAGGTACAGAAGCTGGAGAGATTTCTAACATCTGGGATTTGTGTATGAGCAAGCCCTCAGCTCTCCCCCTCAGCCCTGCAACCCCTGCCCAGAGCTTTCTTGAGGTTTCAGCATCCCTGCTGTGCACTCCAAAATCCATAAGAGAACAATGCGGTTAAATGTGGGGGCCTCACCTGGCTTCCATCCCCATAAATCTTAGTCGCTGCTTCTGACCTGTGTGACTCTGGTTCCTGGCCTTTGACAATCAGCTTCCCCTGCCCTTCCTTTTACACCTCCTTGTCTGTGTCTGGCCTCTTACCAGTCAACCCATGTTTTTCCAGGCAAGGCCATTCTCCTCAGAACTTTATTTTTAGGCCTTAGTCCTCTAGAGCCTTGCACTGCTTGGATTTTCTGTGTTTCTGCTGAATTATCCCACCGTGTAACAAGCTTCTGAAAACAGAGGCCCTTACCTTAGTCAACTCTAAACCCTTAGTATCTAGGATGGTTCAGTGGAGGAGAATTATAGACTAAGTAAATAAGCTATCATTCATTTATATCTCTGTCATCTACTAATTTATCATCTGTTTCTCCTACTCTGTCATTCATCTCTATCATCTAGTCCTTTCAACTATGTATTTCCCTATAATCATTATCATGGTTTTCTACCTTTTGGTCATTTGTTTTTCTTTGTATTATCTTTTCCTCTTATCTCTATCATCTACCTGGCCCCTGCCATTTCCTTCCTCCCTCCCTCCCCACCCCCCTCCCTTTGACAAACAGCTTCCCCTGCCCTTCCTTTTACATCTCCTTGTCTGTGACTGGCCTGTCCACTCAACCCATGTTTTTTCCAGCAAGGCCATTTTTTCCCTCCCTCCTTCCTTCCTTCCTTCCTTCCTTCCTTCCTTCCTTCCTTCCTTCCTTCCTTCCTTCCTTCCCTCTCTTTCTCTCACCCTCTCCTTATCCTCCCCTCCAATTCGTTGCCCCTCTCTCATTCTCTCTCATCAATCTTTTCTTTATCTTCTGGCATTACCCATGCCCCATGTGTGCTCTTCTCCAATTATTCTTATCCATATCCAAGTATGGAATTTATTCATATGAAATATATCAGAGGACAGGGATTAGTTCTGTTTAAGCCAATGAGTTCAGGAGTTATTGCTTCAGCTTCCAGCATCCAGAGCCTTGGCCTCAGACCTGTTTCTCTTATTCACCCCTAACCGGCTGAGTGGAAGTGTCCTCTGTCAGCCTAGCATGCACCTTTCACCACATTGTTCTATGTTGCCTGGCAGGAATTGGGGCTCCTTTGCACCACTTTGCTACATACTCAGGTGTCTCACTTCCTATCCTTCACTCTCTCAAAGCCTTTAACCACTTTTTATTTGAATAACTGTGTCTTGTTCACAAATCTATAACTCTCAAAGGAAAAGACTATATTTGATTCATGTCTGTGCCACCAGAGCTCTAAACAGATTGTGTACAGTAAACATACCACAAATTCTTTAAAAAAAATTTTTTAAATATATATTTTATTGATTTTTTACAGAGAGAGGGATAGAGAGTTAGAAACATCGATGAGAAAGAATATCGATCAGCTGCCTCTTGCATACCCCCTACTGGGGATTTGCCCGCAACCAAGGTACATGCCCTTGACCGGAATCGAACCCGCAGGCCGACGCTCTATCCACTGAGCCAAACCGGTTTCGGCACATACAACAAATTCTTATCCAGTGAACAAGCAAAGGTTGGAGAATTTGAAGCCCAGTGTTGTTCAAACTTCTCAATCACTGGCTGATTCCTTTCTTAGAGAAAAATGGGAAGATTGGCCAATTGATTTTTTTTTTCCCCGTCAAAGACAATTTAGGGTAGAGTCACTGTTCATTGGTCAGCAACACTCATTTATTCCACAAATATTTACTGAGCACCTACTATGTGTTCGGCATTGCTATACATGCTTGGGATACACCTATGAACACAATAGCTGTGTGAAGCTAACATTTTGTTTCTCCAGGGATCACCCTTTAGGATGAAAGAGATTTGAGTACTAGGAGCTGAAGAGGGCCATTAACATTCTTATGCCAACTCCTTGCAAGACATTGTACTTCATTTTAGGGAAAAAAGAGGGTGGGGACGGAAGCTGCTTGGGAAGTGATTTCAGCTCTGGTTCTCTAAGCTGACTTCCTGTCCCTTTCTTGCTGTAGGAGAAACACCCCTGTCAGTAGGCCGCACTCATGGCATGTGGCCAAACTGCTGGAGGGATGCCCTGAAGCGGCTACCACCATGCATGTCCCTTCTGAAGCCTTCAGTTTGTCCTGGCATTCCGGCTGCAACACAAGGTGAGTTTGGAACTCCCCTCTCAAGGTGGTCTGGAGGGTGGGTAATGTGATCACTCCTTCTCCTCTGATCTAGTACCTTTTGGATGTTCTAGAGCCCAGAGTGCTAGAATGGAAAATGCAATGGGATTCCAATCTGCATTCTAGTCCTAGTCTGCTGCTAATTCTGTAACTTTGGGTCACATGCATTCTTTCTGGAAAATGTTTCCTTGAAATACTTAACTTACTTGGCTTTTTTCCTGCTTTTTGTATGTTTCACCGGTTGCTCCCTTGCTATCTCTTTCCATGGTTCCTCCTCACCTCCTCTTAATGTAGGAGGGCCCAAGGGCTCAGTTCTGCTCCTCTTCCCTGTCTACAATGACTCACTGCAACCTCATCCAGTGTTCATCAGCTCTGTCACCGAGCCAAAAACCTTCAGAATGCGATCTCCCTGAATAACAGGGTCCACCTGCAGTGAGTATCTCTCAATACAGAGAGTGTGGTATAGTCTGTTGTTGAAACAACTTCCTGTAAGAGGTATACAACTATTTCAGCAAGCTCAGAGCCAGTAAAGCTGCTGGCCTTAGCTGCCTTTTCCCTCACACAACAAGATCATCCAAGAAGTGATTTCTGTTAAAGAGGTTCAGAGAAGCTCAAGGTTGAGTTGGCTCCCACTCAGTGACTTCATTTGGCATTGCAAGCCATAGGCTTAGTGCAGAGCCAGAGGCAATTTTGTTCTAGAAGAATACACAAAAACATATTTTGAGCTTGATTCCTGTTGGAGAGGGGGTGTGGTTGTTTTGAGCAGGAAGCATGGTGGGGTGGGTAGCAGGTCCCCTTGCCAACAAGGAATTGAAAGATTCTAGCCCAGAGGTCAAGTTGAACAGAGTGGCTACGGGGCAGTGCAGGGAGCAAGAATTATGGGAGGCTGATCTGAGAGTCTCATGAGCTCCTGCCACTACTCAGCTCTGGCTTTTTGAACTGTGGCCTGAGAGCAGCCTGCAACCTCTGTCGTTCTAGTCATAGGAGTTACTGGCATGACTTGGCTCCATTTGGCGTTGTGTGTGGGAAATCATACTTAAAATTCAAGACTGTGTCTGACCCTAGTCCCTTACTTGGTCTCCCCAGTTGGCCTTTACCATGGAGAATGAGGGCAGCATCATGGTCAAGGGCCACTATACTACCAATATTAGTAGTAAAGACAAAGCTGATAAGAACAGCTATGGAAACAGCAATCAAGAGAGTAGCAGCTAACATGTATTGAACTTTTGCTAGGTGCCCAGGCTGTGACAAGAGCTTTACATTTACTATCTAATTTTACTCACAGTGCAACCTACCGATGCAGATATTGCTATATTCCCATTTAACAAATGATATAGCACCATGGTCTGCAAACTGCGGCTCAAGAGCCACTTGCGGCTCTTTGGCCTCTTGAGTGTGGCTCTTCCACAAAATACCACAGCCTGGGTGAGTCTATGTTGAAGAAGTGGCGTTAGAAGAAGTTTAAGTTTAAAAATCTTGGCTCTCAAAATAAATTTCAATCATTGTACTGTTAATATTTGGCTCTGGTGACTAATGAGGTTGCCAGCCACTGGTATAGCAGATCTAAGACAATGGACTTACAGAGGCCTGGGTTCTAAGTCTAGCTCTGCTTCTTTAGTAGCTTTGTGAGGCTGTCAGTTTATGTGACCTCTTGTAGCTTTAGTTTTCTTTATTGTAAAGTGCAGATAATTTCTTGCCTTAAGTTTGAAATGTGACACTCTAAAGTGCCTGGCATATCATAGTTCCTTGGTAAATTGTCAGGATTATTATATTACCAAGAAAAAACAACAACAACAACGAAAAACAGAGAGAAAAAACAAAGATGCCTCAATTCCAGTCCTATCAGGGCCACATGCTAGAACTGAGTAATCTTGTGAAAAATAACCTCCTCAAAAAGCTCTTCCTTGGCATGGCTTGCTTTATACCAGTGGTTCTCAAAGATGTGGTCCCTGGACTAGCAGCACTTAGTATCACCTGGCAACTTGTTAGAAGCAAAAATTCTCAGTATTTACTCAGACCTTTTGACAATCCCTCCTTGTGATTCTGATGCATGCTCAAATTTGAGAGCCACTGATTTTCAAAATGGGCTGTCTGAAATTGAATCAGACCTTTAAGGCCACTCTCTAATGTTAATAATCTGTGGTTATAGCTCCTGGCAGAGAGCCCCATGCTGACACCCTGGAAACAGTGACAGGTCAGAAGCAATTCTAGATTCACTGACATCAAGCAGAACATAACCTCCAATGGAGACCTCACATTTTTAGTCTTTGGGATCTTGCCCATCCTTCTTCCATAAGCTGTCTTCTCTCCCATTTTACCACATCACTGTGGTACCCCAGTGTCCATATCTTTCCCTTACTTTCTTTCTTGCTGTATCTCACTTTCATTGGTGGCACGGGTGCCTCTGGGTTGTCTTGCCTTCTCACATGGCAGGGCTGGCCACAGTGGGAAAGGGATTTGGTAATTTGGCTAACTAATGCCCTGTGTCTTACAGTGACGTGTGTGTGCAGTGGTGTCCACTCTCCCGGCACTGCAGCACTGAGAAAAGCAGCTCCATTGGCAGCATGGAGAGCCTGGAGCAACCAGGCCAAGCCACCTATGAGGGTCACCTCTTGCCCATTGACCAGAACATGTGCCCTAACCAGCGGGACTCAGCCTACAGCTCCTTCTCAGCCAGCTCAAATGCCTCTGACTGTGCCCTTTCCCTTAGGCCAGAGGAGCCAGCCTCTACAGACTGCATCGTGCAAGGCCCAGGGTTAACTAAGACCCCTAATGGCAGACCTAATGTGGCTGAGACCTCAGGAGGTAGCCGGCGCACCAGTGGAGGCCAACTGACTTCCAGCTCCCAGATGTCATCCCACCCACAGGAGGTCCACCACTCAGGGCCTGCCAAGGCTGCCAAGGGCCCACCACAACCTCCAGTGAGGCGAGACAGTCTTCAGACCTCCAGAGCCCAACTCCTTAATGGAGAGCAGCGCAGGGCTTCTGAGCCTATGGACTCTTTGCAACAGAAGGAGAAACCAAGCTTAGACACTGAGCTATGCTCAAGGAACCCTCACAGGTTCTGCTGCCTCAGTGGGCAAGACCAAGTGACCAATGAGGGCCATCAGAACTGTGAGCTCAGCCATCCTCCTGAATCCAATCAACAGGGCTCTGAGCACTTACTTATGGAAGCTTCAAGCAAAGCTGCTGGATTCCAAAAATCGTATGATTCCAGCCCACACAGCAAGGCTTCAGCAGAGATAGCTAAAACTTCTTCTTTTGGCAGCCCTCCACGCCTCACAGGACCCACAGGCCATCGCCATAGTGCCCCTGAACAGCTGCTGGCATCCCACTTGCAGCATGTGCACCTTGATACTAGGAGTAGCCAAGGAATGGAGCTCCCAACTGGACAGGATGGGCATGAGTGGAATTTGTCCCCATTGCATAACACCCACACGGGGAAGAAAAGTCCATGTCCCCCTATAGGAGCAACCCAGGACCAGCCCAGCAAAGAGAGAAAGACCAGACCAGTGGATGATAGGTCTGTGGGCTTGAGACACCAGAGGCCACGCAGCTCCCCTCATGAAGAAGCTGATGGACAATCTCCAGAAAGACGTTTTCAGGACCTAAACAGAGTAAGCAGAGGAGGCAATGAATTGCCCAGCCAGCAGCCCTCTGCCTCTGGATTGCTTGTTCAACAAACCAGGGACTGTTCTTCAACCACTAAAGTAGCTGACACCACAGAGGCAACTGAAGAAGGGGACAAGGAGCCCAAGGAGTGTAGCCGGGTGGGTGGCAGGCGAAATGGAGGGACCCGGGGACGCTCAATCCAAAACCGACGGAAGAGTGAGCGTTTTGCTACCAACCTGCGGAATGAAATTCAGAGAAGGAAGGCCCAGCTCCATAAAAGCAAGAGTCCCTTATCACAGCTGTGTGACACTAAGGAGCAAGTAGAAGAGGCCGAGGAACCCCTAGAAAGTCCTCTACTTCCTGCCTCTAATTCACCTTTGCTACCTTCATATGAAAAACCACCTAGCCCCAGAGATAAGCTCTTTAATAAGAACATGATGCTTAGGGCTAGGTCTTCAGAGTGCCTAAGCCAAGCCCCTGAGAGCCATGAATCTAGGATAGGCTTGGAGGGCCGAATGAGCCCTAGCCAGAGGCCTAGTCAGTCCTCTTTGGGTCTGAACACCTGGTGGAAAGCATCTGACTCATCCTCTTCAGACTCTGAGAAAACAAATGTTCACCGTGGAGTCTATGGAGGTCATTGGAGATGGTCTCCAGAGCACAACCTGCAGCCACATGTGGAACTAACCACAGAAAGGTCTTCCAGCCCAGGAGATAACAAGGAATTGAAGGCTTCTACTGCCCAAGCTGGGGACGAAGCCATCCTCTTGCCCTTTGCAGACAGAAGGAAGTTCTTTGAAGAGAATAGCAAATCCCTATCTACATCTCATTTGCCAGGTTTAACCACTCATAGTAATAAAACTTTTACCCAGAGACCAAAACCTATAGACCAAACTTTCCAGCCAAAGAGCTCCAGCTATAGGGAATTGAGGCGCCATCCCATGGACCAATCATATCATTCCACAGACCAACCATATCATGCCACAGACCAATCATATCATTTCATGTCATCCCTTCAGTCAGAAACTCCTACTTACTCAGAATGTTTTGCAAGCAAAGGTCTAGAACAATCCATGTGTTGTAAGCCACTGCACTGTGGTGATTTTGATTACCACAGGACCTGCTCTTACTCCTGCAGTGTCCAGGGAGCTGTAGTACATGACCCTTGCATTTACTGTTCTGGGGAAATCTGCCCTGCTTTGCGAAAGAGAAATATGATGCCAAACTGCTACAACTGCCGGTGCCATCACCACCAATGCATTCGGTGTTCAGCTTGCTGTCATAATCCCCAGCACAGTACCCTGGAGGACAGCAACTTGGCACCTGGCAACGCTTGGAAAGCCAGGAAGCCAACAGTGCAGGTGAGGACTTGGTACTTGCATGGGTGAGCTTCGCCATTCTCTTTCTAAGGAGAGAGCAAGGTGAATCATTTGAAAACAATTATAATTTCTTAAAACGATATAGTCTTGGCTCCACCATATGGTAGTTTACTAACCTTGGGCATGACACGCAGCTATCAAAACTGCGGTTACCTCATCTTTAGAGTTAGACTAAAATAACTTTTGCTTCATGAAATGGACCAAACTTGGATTTATACCCTGGCTATATAATTGGTATCTGAGTGACCTTAAGCAAGTCATTCAACCACTAAAATTGGCAGTTATGTGATTTTTAAAGGGACAAATGAATTTTCATCTCATAAAATGCCAAGTACTAAATAAAGTCTTATTACCTCATCACTAAAGTGGAGGAAAATAATGGCTATCTCATAAATCAGTTGTGAGGATCAAATGAGATTGTGCATATAGAGTGTCAGAGCAGTACTTGACAAAAAGCAGCATGAATTCCATTTCCTGCTTTAGAACTATTTGGGGCTCCAAAATTTGCAAATGGTCCCCCAGCCTTTGCTTTAAGGAATCTGATCTGTCTGGTTTTCTAAAGGACAAATACTTGCCCCTCTTTTCCAGTTTCTTTCTCTGTCAGAGACCAAGGTTTAGACTGGCTATTGCTATACCTGGTTATGACCTATCGCCCTAACATAAGCTACCACCATCTCCCAAGGTTTTTCTGGGAGGACCCTCTAGGACTTTACCAGCTCACTGCCAGATTCCTTCTCTATGGCTTTCTGAGTGCCACTTTTGGCTGATGCATTCAAACCAGAAGTGAGTTCCTCTATTGAACTGTTGTTGCACAGGGAAATGCTTTTGAATGAGTTGGTGTATGAAATTGCTCAATACATATTTTTTGAATAAAGGAAACTTAGATGTGAAAGAAGCCTTACACAGAAGAATATACTCTGCTATTCCTATTATATAAAGTACTAAAACAGCTGTTCTATGGAAAATAATTCAAAACAGTGGCTTCCTATGGGAGGTGGCACAGAGATTGACTGGGATAGGGCATGAGGGAATTTTGTTGGATGATGATAATGTTCTATATCTTGATAAGAGTTTGAGTTACACAGGTGTATGCATTCATAAGAACTCAACAAATGTATACAATTTGTGCACTTCACTAGAAGTAAATTTTGCCTTAAAATATTATAAACAAATATTTAATGAACTTTATTTAATGATATGAATGCTAAAGTTTTTGAAGTCCACTGGTTCTCTAACTTACTTTAAAGTTTCCAGCATACGAATGTTGCACATATTTTGTTATATTTATCCCTAAGATTTTATGGTTTTGATGCTATTGTAAATAGTATTGTTTTCTTAATGTCAAGTTAAAATTCTTACTTACTATTATATAGAAATACAATTCAATCATGTGTATTGGTCTTGTAGCCTATAAACTTTTCAAACTCACTTAGGATTCTGGTAGCTTTATGGTAGATTTTTAAACATTTTCTACATAGATAGTCATATCATCTGCAAGTGGAAATAATTTTAAATATATCCACTGTGTATGTCTTTTCTAAGGGAGAGGGGGAATTTATTGCACTGCCTAGGACCTCCAATACAAGGTTTAATAGAGATGGTGAGATTAGATATTGCTGCTATGTTTCCAGTCTTTCAGTATTGTGATGTTAGCTGTCGAGTTTTTTAAAATATGTTTTGATTGATTTTTAGATAGCAAGGAAGGGAGAGGGATAGAGAAATAGAAACTTCCATGAGACAGGAACATTATTGATGGGCTGTGTCTTGCACGCCCCCTACTGGGGATTGAGCCTGCAACCTGGGCATGCACCCTGACCAGGAATCAAAACCTGACCTCCTGGTACAGGGTCAATGCTCAACCACCGAGGCACATCGGCTGGGCTAGCTGTAGGTTTTTGTAGATGTCCTTTATCAGGTTGAGGAAGTTCTCTTTAATTCCTAGTTTAATGAGAGCTTTTATCAGGAGTCTATTGATATAGTCAATTAGATTGATTGATTTTTGAAATAAGAACTAGCCTAGCATTACCCACTTGGTCAGGACATATTTGCTTTGTTACTAGATTTGATTTTTTCATAGTTTAAGGATTTTTAATTAAAAAATGTTAATGTTAACATTATTGCAGAATCTCCCCACCCCCACTCCTTTGACCACTCCACCCTCTATTATCTCCCCCTTCCTTGGCCTTCACCAAATGTTTGTCTGTGTCCATGGGATAGGCATATTTGCTCTTTAGCTTTTTCATTCACCTTCTTTATTCAGTCATCTTCACATCCCTCTCCCCTTGGGCATAGGCCAGTCTGTTCCATGTATTCAGGCTTCTGAGTCCATTTTGTTCATCTGTTTATCTTGTTCATTAGATTCCACGTATTAGTGAGATTGTATGACATTTGTCTCTTCTGACTGGCTTATTTCACTTAGCATAATACTCTCCAGGTCCCTTCATGCTGTTGCAAATGGTAAGACTTCCTTCTTTTTTTATAGCTGCATAGTATTACATTGTGTAAATGTACCACAGGTTTTTTTTATCCACTAATTTACTGATGGGTGCTTGGGCTGTTTCTAGATTTTTACTATTGTAAATAATGCTGCTACACAAAGATGCATATATTCTTTCTGATTGGTGTTTTGGGATGCTTCGGATATATTCCCAGAACTGGGATCACTAGGTCAAAAGGCAGGATTTTTGTGTCTATGTTTATCAAAGATTATAGTCTGTAGTAATCTTATAATGTTACTAGAGGCCTGGTGCATGAAATTTGTGCACTTGGGTGGGTCCTTCAGCCCAGCCTGTACCCTCTCGCAGTCCAGGAGCCCTTTGGGGATGTCCAACTGACAACTTAGGCCTGCTTCCTGTGGGAGAGGCAGACTCTTGACACCACCACTGCGCTTGGCAGGCATGAGCCCAGCTTCTGGCTCAGTGGCTCTCCACCTATATGAGCACACTGACCACCAGGGGGCAGCTCCTGAATTGAGCATCTGCCCCCTGGTGGTCAGTGCACATCATAGTAACCAGTTATTCCACTGTTCAGTTGATTTGCATATTACCCTTTTATCATATAGGATTGTCTGGTTTTTATACCAGATGCTGGCCTTACCAAATGAGCTAGGAGGCCATGTTCAGGAAGAATTTGTATAGAATTGGTATTATTTCTTCCTTAAATGTTAGATAAAATTCATTATCAAAGCCTTCTGGAGTTTTCTTTGTGGAAAGGTTTCTAAACTACAAATTCAATGTCTTTAATAGGGACATTAGGTTCTCTATTTCTTTTTATATGAGTTTTTGTAGTTTGTCTTTAAAGGAATTTGTCTATTTCATTTAAGCTTTTATTTTTATGGGAATAAAGTTGTAAGAATTTGAAATATATAAAGAATTTAAGATAGGATGGTAGATGGATAGAGGAGTGAGTAGTGAAATATGTGATAAGGCAAATATGGTAAAATATTAATTGTAGAATCTACGTGGTGAATATATATGTGTTAATTGTAAACTTGTTCAACTCTCTGTATGCTTGAAAATATCCATAATAAAATATAGAAAAAAAGGAGAGGAAATACAAAATAATGGTTTAGGGGCACTGATGCTGGAATCAACTGCCAAGGTTCAAATTTCTAAGTTTTCCCACTTTAAAAATGGAGGTAATAATGGTACCTACTTCACAAGTTGGTTTTGAGGATTAAATGATGTAGCTTGTGTACGGCACTTAGAACAGTAACTGCCAGATAGATGAGTGTGAGTTATTATCTTTTAAAATAAAGGGAGAGATTGGCTTAGCTTGAGAAACTGTTTGCTGACAGAAGAACCTACAAATAAAGGGGACTGAAGTTGGAGGGTGGCAGGGGTTAAGAAGATGATAGCTACAGAAGTGTCAGCCCAGGGCCAATAACTCTGTAAAGTAAGGAGATGAAATTTGCAGGTTACATCTATCTATTGGCAGCACCAATGCAGGCCTCCTTTTGCACTCTGAGGGAGGGACACATTGAATCCCTAATGCCTGTTAGACTAGCTAAAGAGGTCTGCTTAGACACTGGCCTTTCAGACATGTATATAACCATCTAAGAGCTACTACATACTCACTCATTCTTACCCCAGCCACCTGAACACACCCTGCCTCCAAACATGAGTAAACTTATAGCATGGATTCGGATACCCCAGCTCACACAGCTAAGGTAGTTGTGATGGTGGCTGTGTGAACTAGGGCTGGTGCCTTCCTTATGGCCCCTGGAAGATGTTCATGAGGTCATTGGCTCCTGTTTTGTGCTGTAAAGGAACTAAAAATCAGTACACACATCCCTCATACTTCATGCCAGTTAGTTTTCCATATATTATCAGGTCATTTCATTTAACAATTGTATGAGATAAGTTATAATAGGATCCCATTTTACAGCTGAGGAAACTGAGGCTCAGAGGGATCACACACCTAGCAAGTGGCAAAGCCAGGATCTGAACATTTATAACTAACATTTGAGTGTCTACTGTGCACCAGGTATGGCTCTAGGCACTTTACATGTATCAACTCATGCAGTCCTCAAAGTAATTAAGAAATAGGCAATGCTATTATCACAATCACACTATTAAATAGCTGGGGAGAATGAGATTTTAAAAAGTTGTATATTTTGCCTGAAGTCACATAGCTAGTAAAGGGCAAGTGTGGGACTTGAATAGTTTTGCTTCAGGGCCAAACTCCTAATAGACTTTTACACTGTTTCTCCATAGGCTGATTGCAAAGCCCAGGCTCTCTCCAGTATGGCAGGACACCCTCTAGTAGTATATCTTTCATTGGGGCAGCAAGTCCTCACCACAGTCAATCCCCATCTGCACCAAGCCATGGGGTGACTACTACTTTGGTTCAAAGGTTGCAGGTAATTTATAGCAACCTAAGTGGCTCAGGAAAAAAGTGAATCTATGAGGGAGGTTGGGAGTTGGGACAGGACTTTGTTTGGTTTGGCCACTGCTATTTACTGAGCACTTCCCATAGGGCCAGACAGGGCATGGTCAGGAAATCCTGGCTCCCACTGTGGCTGAGCAAGTAACATGTCTTTGAGGGCAGGGACATCTCACAAGGGCATCAAGGCAGAGTCTGAAATCTAACAAGTGGTTAGAGCTGCTCTACCATGACTTATCCAAGCGGGCCTGCTCTGATCCCGTAAAAGTTGAGTAACCTCATCCTTTCCATGACACTCAACATCCAGAGTTTCCTATGTGCTGAGCCCTGTGCTAGGCATTATCTATTCAGATCCCACTTTATTCCCACTACTGGGAACCAGCAAGGCTAGATATAATAGCATAGTCCTTATTTGCCAGAGGGGAATCTGAGGTTTAGGGAGGTGACATAGTTCATCTCAAATAGCACAGCTATTAAGTATCTTAGCTAGTATGACTAACACCAGATGTCTTAGTCCCAAAAGGGAGTAATTTTTGTCTGGGGTAAAGGTAATAAAACTTTGAATGGGACCAATAGTGGTATTAGAGAAAGAGGGAATGTGGAACATCGTTGAGGTTTAGGAATACCTATGCATTCTCATTGGGCTAAGCTCTGGGTTGCTAGATAGAAGGTACTGAAAGCAAAACCAGGGAGAATGTCAAAGGCACATTTGTATTACGTTTGGAGCTAGAATAGGAAGGAAGGGACATTTTTACAAATGGCACACATGGAGAGGGGGCAGAGTTGTTTTGGCAAAGCCCTTAAGGAAAAAAAATACACAGGGTGAAGAATGTACTCCTGTAATGTGGGGAACATGGCACCCAGCACTCAGGCTCCCCTGAGATAAGCCCACCTCATGCCCTGCCAGCGGATCGGGGCGGAGGAAGGGCCCTTGCTGTGTGCTGGAATGCATGATCTTCCTCTGCCTCACTCTGGGAAAGGGTTGCAGCAGCAAGAGCTAGTTTAGGCCTCAAAGCTCCCTCAAGGGCTAGGGCTTCCGAGAAGATGCTCTCTATGTTGGTAGAGTAAAAGGGAGAGAGCAGGTTCACCAGGCAGAACAAACAAAAATGCCTTCTTTACAAGAGCCAGAGCAAACAGCAAACATGCTAAACTGGTTTTTAACGTGGTTTGGGAGGGGAGCGGAGAAAGAGAGGGAAACACTGAGTTTCTAGACTACACTGTCAAGATCCCTAAGTGCTCTCTTGGTCTCTGCATGCCCTCAGCAGCTCAGCAGGCCTCCTGATAGAAAGGCAGCCCTCCAGGTACGTATTTCTCTACCTGCATGGAAGAGTAGAAGAAACCATCTGGGGGCCTGGCCAGGGACAGGTTTCTGAAGTCTTCACATTTTTGAGGCCATCTAGATACCTGACTGCTCAGAGCTCCCTAATTTATCAGAATTTTGCTTTGCAGGAATTTCCTGGGGACAAATGGAAACCAGTAACAGGAAACAGGAAGACCAGCCAGTCAGGCAGGTAAGTGGCTGCTCAGGGTGTTGGGGTGAGTTGCTACCTCTGAGTTTGCTATAGAAATGGTAAGGTTTTCTTTGAGAAACCTGGTTTGGAGTTTACATAGATGTCATCCAGCCTGGTCTCAGACAGCTGGGCTACAGACCAAACTGATTGCTAGGATGGTATTTTTTTTTAATTTTTTTTAATTTTATTGATTTTTTACAGAGAGGAAGGGAGAGGGAGAGAGAGTTAGAAACGTCGATGAGAGAGAAATATCGACCAGCTGCCTCTTGCACACCCGCTACCGGGGATGTGCCCGCAACCAATGTATATGACCTTGACCAGAATCGAACCCGGGACCTTTCAGTCCGCAGACCGACACTCTACCACTGAGCCACGCCGGTTTCGGCGCTAGGATGTTAACATTGTGCCCATCATCTTAAGGACCTGAGGCAGACCTTCTCAGGCACAAGAACATATGGGACCAGACCATGCTGAAATACATGAAAAGGCATAAATTATGCATACCTCTCTAGTGGTCATCAGGCAGTTGGAGGGTGCAGAGCGGAGGTGAGATGGTCTTGCTACTGCTGTGCCTTTGTCTCAGAGTTGTTGGAGGTACTTGTTTCTTGGGTTCTTCCACCTTTATTTTTATAGGGCTTGTTGATAACTTAAGGTCTGCCCATTAAAAGTCCAAGGGCAGCCCAGCTAGAATGGCTCAGTGGTTGAGTGTCGACCTATGAACCAGGAGATAACGGTTCAATTCCCGGTCAGGGAACATGCCCTGGTTGCAGGCTCAATTCCCAGTGTGGGGTGTGCAGGAGGCAGCTGATAAATGAGTCTATCTCATCATTGATGTTTCTCTCTCTCTCTCTCTCTCTCTCTCTCTCTCTCTCTCTCTCTCTCTCTCTCTCTCCCTCTCTCTCCCTCTCTCTCTCTCTCTCTCTCTCTCTCTCTCTCTCTCTCTCTCTCTCTCTCTCTCTCTCTCTCTCTCTCTCCCTCCCCCCCCTTCCATTTCTCTCTGAAATAAAGAAAATAATATTTTTTAAAAAGTCCAAGGGAAGATCATGCTAACAATAGATTAAAATTTCTGAAAGAAGAATTTTTACAAATGGCATATATGGCTTGGGCTAGAGGAAAAAGAGTTGTTTGGGCAAAGCCATTAAGGGGAAAATGCCCAGAATGAAGAGCGTACTCCCGTACTGTGGAAGCATGGCACTCAGCACTCAGGTTCCCCAGAGATGAGCCCACCAGTCATAGGTGAACATAGGAGTGACAGTTACCTTCTTGGTGTTACTCTACATCAGCCTTGCTGGACCCTCTCTTTTGTGAAATTCCTTGCTATTTTCTTTCAGTTCTTCTCCACGCCTAATTATACAAGAAGCTCCTAGATTATAGTGACTCTTTAACTCAAACTGTAGGAATGAAGGTGGCATAGGGAAGAAGCCTGTCAGCCTTGTCTCTGAAGGGGATCTTAGGGAGGGGACACTAAAGGAGAGGACTAGAATCTGTGTCTCCTGACCACTGGAGTTCTTTCTTGGGGGTCTGCATTATCCCCTGTGATTTGTTGTTGTAGTTAGGAATAATTTTGGCTTTCTATTGGTTCTAAAGTCTGGGTAACCTATCAGTTTTGTGGTTGGCAATGGAAAAAAAAGAAGGAACCCAACATTTATTATCTACCCTGTTTCCCCGAAAATAAGACAGTGTCTTATATTAATTTTTGCTCCCAAAGATGCGCTAGGTCTTATTTTCAGGGAATGTCTTATTTTTCCATGAAGAAGAATACGGTACACATTTATCGTTAAATGAAAATAAAGGAAATTTGTTACCTGTATACAGTACGGTAGTACGGTAGTTGTCAACACAAACCAGACAAACTGTGAATCCTACAGTATCAAGAATTTACTCATTTATTCGATGACAGTCATGTCATCATCTTCTGGAACATCATCATAACAATCCAATTCCTGAATTTCCTGGTGAATTTCTTGTGACTCCATTTCTTTCAGAATCTGTGGACCAAATCTCTCATGTTTAGCAATAGCATTCTGAGACAGAGCCTGGGGGGTCTTATTTTCGGGGGATGCCTTATATTTCACTCAGAAGGAAACCTGTAAGTAGGTCTTATTTTTGGAGGATGTTTTATTTTCGGGGAAACACGGTACTAAATCACTGGGCTGGATGTTTTTACACCCATGATCTCATTAATTCTTCACAACAGCTTTATTTTTATTTTTATTTTTTTTATTTTTTACTATAGATGAGGTCCAGAGAGGTTATATAACATAGCTGAGGTCATGCACCTAGTATAAGTGATAGAAACAGGATTCAGAACCAAGTTTGGCCCCAAAGTTCATGCATTTTCCATCATAACTGCTTCAATTGAGATCCCTAAAGTACCCTTCAAACTGATCACTCAGCATTATGCCTCTGTAGTCTGACCTGGATGGGGATATTATGAGATTAAATGACTGGTCTTGATCCCTCACTGTGAACTGGGTTGTACCATGTCCTTTGAGAACTTGTTTCCATCTAGTGGGTCTGCAGAGTTTCCCACATTAGGCTGAAAAACCAAGAGAAGAGACCATGCCTTGGTCATTGATTTACTCTCTATGACTAGCACAGAGAAGTTGCTGAGTGGTGTTGTCATTTGCTTGCCAAATGAAGAAACAGAGCCTTCACCACTGAATGGGTAAAATGACACAATAATAATAATGTTAACTAAAATTTCTAATGTTAACTAAAAGTTCCCTACTTGGGCACCATTCAAAAATTTATCACTATAACCTTAAGGGGTAGGTACTGTTAATATCCCCATTTGCCTGAGAGGAGAAACTGAAGCCCACACAGGTAAATTCATTTGCCTAAAGTTCCACAAATAGTAAACTGACTAGATCCAGGCAGTCTTACTTCAGAGACACTCCACAGTGAGTCTTCACTTAATGTCACCAATTGGTTCTTGGAAACCTCAAATTTAAGTGAAACGACACAATGAAACCAATTTTACCATAGGCTAATTGATATAAATAAGAATTAAATACCTATGGCATTTTTTGGTCACAAAATCATCACCAACTTTCTAAATGAAGACCCAAAGCACTTCTAATATTCACCATTGAAATAAATGTGAGCCATACATACATTTAAAAAATATTAATAAGTCACTTCTTTTCCAACTTACCTATTGCAGTTCAGGGTTACAGGTGGCCAGAGTTGATCTTGGCAGCTCAGGGAGTAAGGTGGGAGCCCACCCTGGACCAGATACCTTTCCATTGTAGGGCCACTCACATGCATAGACTCACAGTCACTCAGATGGGAACAATGTAGACATGCTAATTGACCTCACATATCCATCTTTGGGATGTGGGAGGCAATTGGAGTCCCCAGAGAAAACCTATACAGATATAGGAAGAATATGTGAACTCCATACAGATAGTGGCCCTGGCTGGGAATCTTTTTTTTTTTTCTAATCAACTTTATAACTTCATAACAAGATGCCACTGAACAAAGTGATCAAGGACCTGCTGTCCTATCCTATGGTGCTTCTCCAAAAATGGTTCTCTTACCGATCAACCAATGAAGTAAGAACTTGATTTAAAACATAATGTAGGTACTGCCTTTTTCTACACAAGCAGGGAAATATTAAAGAGCAGCAAGAAGCATAAAGCCTGTCCACCCACAGCTTGAGCAAGAAAGACTAACCCACACAGAGTTAAGTAGCAGTAATAATTAAGTGCCATTTCCAAAACAACCCACACACCACAAGCTAAGATACACATATTATGTTATGTTTTATTGTCCCCAAAGCTCTGTCAGGTAGGTAATTATTTGAGCTAGGGTGATGGTTCTCGAACTTGAGTATGCATTTGAAACACCTGAAAGGCTTGTTAAACTAGAGATAGGCAAATCTCATCTCCAGCGAGTGTGATTCAGTAGGTGTACAGTGGGGCTCAAAATGTGCATTTCTAACAAGCTCCCCAGGTGATGCTGATGCAGCTGCTTTTGGGATTACACTTTTGAGAATATTGACTCAGAAACAAATCTGAGGTTCAGACATACTGGTATTGAGTAATTTACTGAATGTCTCACAGGTACTAAAGGGACAAGCTAAGTGTTGCTTACTCAGGCGAGTTGCTATAGATGAAATGTCAGACACAAGTTTAAACAAGATAAGACCATATATGTAATACTTTAATCAATAAAGAAATTTTAAAAAAGAAACGCCTGGGACACTGTAAGGGGACAACACATGATAAATATCATTGTGCCTTGAGTTTATTGGACAATAAGAACACTGAAGGTTGGGACCCACAGGAGGAAAGGATCAGAAGAGAGACTAAGCAGGTTATGTGGGAGGAATAAGCCCTGTTGGTTAAGGGTTCTGTCCTTGCTGCCAGTTGGCCTGGGTTCAAATTCAGTGTCTTCCATTCTCTAGCTGTGTTAGGGTAGCTTAGGAAGTCTCTCTCTCTCTCTCTCTCTCTCTCTCTCTCTCTCTCTCTCTCTCTCTCTCTCTCTCTCTCTCTCTCTCTCCTCCCTTCCCTCCCTGCCCCATCAGTTTCCTTATTTCTAATATGGGGTAAAAGTACCTACCTCATGTGATTATTGTGAGAATTAATATATGAGTTAATATATGTAACTCATATGTATTGGATGTGATAATGAGGTGTAGGAAGAGGAAAGGGAAGAAGAGCACCAGCAGTAACAGTACAGAAAAAAAGGGCAAATAGCAAAGTATCAGGAAAGAATAGGTAGGCCTTAAAAACTAGATGGGATCACAAACAATTGAAGGTTAGAGATCAGGTAAGTGGAATGGTAAATGTAGCTAGCACTTTAGAAAACTTGGTAGCATTTACAGTCTAGATGGGTTGAAGAGAGACCAATTATGGGCAGTGATCCAGGCATGAAAGAGTGTGGCCCTGGATTGGAAAGGAGGGGTGATGTAGAAGGAATAGATAAATGTGTGTGATATTTAGGAGAAAATGTTGGTTTACTGTAAAAAACAATGTGATAGAAAATTAAAACCA